CTTACTGGGAACAGGAACTATCATTTAGACCAGAACAGACTGCTTACTGGGAACAGGAACTATCATTTAGACCAGAACAGACTGCTTACTGGGAACAGGAACTATCATTAAGACCAGAACAGACTGCTAACTGGGAACAGGAACTATCAGTTAGACCAGAACAGACTGCTTACTGGGAACAGGAACTATCTTTAAGACCAGAACAGACTGCTAACTGGGAACAGGAACTATCATTTAGACCAGAACAGACTGCTTACTGGGAACAGGAACTATCATTAAGACCAGAACAGACTGCTAACTGGGAACAGAAACTATCTTTAAGACCAGAACCAGATAACTGGGAACAGGAACTATCTTTAAGACCAGAACAGACTGCTAACTGGGAACAGGAACTATCTTTAAGACCAGAACAGACTGCTTACTGGGAACAGGAACTATCTTTAAGACCAGAACAGACTGCTAACTGGGAACAGGAACTATCTTTAAGACCAGAACAGACTGCTTACTGGGAACAGGAACTATCTTTAAGACCAGAACAGACTGCTTACTGGGAACAGGAACTATCATTTAGACCAGAACAGACTGCTTACTGGGAACAGGAACTATCTTTAAGACCAGAACAGACTGCTAACTGGGAACAGGAACTATAATTTAGACCAGAACAGACTGCTTACTGGGAACAGGAACTATCATTTAGACCAGAACAGACTGCTTATTGGGAACAGGAACTATCATTTAGACCAGAACAGACTGCTTACTGGGAACAGGAACTATCATTAAGACCAGAACAGACTGCTAACTGGGAACAGAAACTATCTTTAAGACCAGAACCAGATAACTGGGAACAGGAACTATCTTTAAGACCAGAACAGACTGCTAACTGGGAACAGGAACTATCTTTAAGACCAGAACAGACTGCTTACTGGGAACAGGAACTATCTTTAAGACCAGAACAGACTGCTAACTGGGAACAGGAACTATCTTTAAGACCAGAACAGACTGCTAACTGGGAACAGGAACTATCTTTAAGACCAGAACAGACTGCTTACTGGGAACAGGAACTATCTTTAAGACCAGAACAGACTGCTAACTGGGAACAGGAACTATCTTTAAGACCAGAACAGACTGCTTACTGGGAACAGGAACTATCTTTAAGACCAGAACAGACTGCTAACTGGGAACAGGAACTATCTTTAAGACCAGAACAGACTGCTAACTGGGAACAGGAACTATAATTTAGACCAGAACAGACTGCTTACTGGGAACAGGAACTATCATTTAGACCAGAACAGACTGCTTACTGGGAACAGGAACTATCATTTAGACCAGAACAGACTGCTTACTGGGAACAGGAACTATCATTAAGACCAGAACAGACTGCTAACTGGGAACAGGAACTATCAGTTAGACCAGAACAGACTGCTTACTGGGAACAGGAACTATCTTTAAGACCAGAACAGACTGCTAACTGGGAACAGGAACTATCATTTAGACCAGAACAGACTGCTTACTGGGAACAGGAACTATCATTAAGACCAGAACAGACTGCTAACTGGGAACAGAAACTATCTTTAAGACCAGAACTCACTGCTTACTGGGAACAGGAACTATCTTTAAGACCAGAACAGACTGCTTACTGGGAACAAGAACTATCTTTAAGACCAGAACAGACTGCTAACTGGGAACAGGAACTATCATTTAGACCAGAACAGACTGCTTACTGGGAACAGGAACTATCTTTAAGACCAGAACAGACTGCTAACTGGGAACAGGAACTATCTTTAAGACCAGAACAGACTGCTAACTGGGAACAGGAACTATCTTTAAGACCAGAACAGACTGCTTACTGGGAACAGGAACTATCTTTAAGACCAGAACAGACTGCTAACTGGGAACAGGAACTATCTTAAAGACCAGAACAGACTGCTTACTGGGAACAGGAACTATCTTTAAGACCAGAACAGACTGCTTACTGGGAACAGGAACTATCTTTAAGACCAGAACAGACTGCTAACTGGGAACAGGAACTATCATTTAGACCAGAACAGACTGCTTACTGGGAACAGGAACTATCTTTAAGACCAGAACAGACTGCTAACTGGGAACAGGAACTATCTTTAAGACCAGAACAGACTGCTAACTGGGAACAGGAACTATCTTTAAGACCAGAACAGACTGCTTACTGGGAACAGGAACTATCTTTAAGACCAGAACAGACTGCTAACTGGGAACAGGAACTATCTTTAAGACCAGAACAGACTGCTTACTGGGAACAGGAACTATCTTTAAGACCAGAACAGACTGCTTACTGGGAACAGGAACTATCAAAAACACCCAGAAGAAGTTTCCATTCACACCATGTTATCAACCAAACAGATTATTAGAGAAGCTACTCTGCAGATTAATGAACAGTAAAACTAAATCCCTTCTCAGGATGGTGTTTATTAAATCAGAAAGTCTGGGAGAAAATATTCACAATGTTCTCAGTTTCATTCTCTTCCATTTTCCTTATATTAAAAATATTCAAATAAAAGCAATAAATCAGGTTTGGTGTTTATTATTATATATACTTATTATGTTTATGTAAATAGAAGCATCTTTTGATGGTCTACCTACATTTCTTAATATAGTCTTTATGTATAATACTTCCTAATCAATTACCCGTTGTGTGTAGTTGCAATTTTAGTGAGCATCGAGTTCAGAAAGGTTCTTGCTATATTTAGTTGCCCAACATTCACTGAATATTTGTATTACTCATTTATGTTGAATTGAAATGTTTGAGTTTTTGTCCTTTTTGAAGTGATCTTTAAAACACTAAGACACGTTGGGTATGAGAAGAGAGACACTAGAGATACTTGTAATGTAAGACTCAGTCGCAGTTATCCAGGTTAGAACTGAAACTCACTGAGAGTCACTATTTCTGGAGAAAGGTGTTAAATGTTTGAAATATGAAAGTCCATCATCTTCCGTTGAATTGCGGTGAAGGAGGGTCGTTAAATAAATATTTACATCTTGTGCTGCATCGCTACTTTTATTCTTGAATAATCTCCTTTCTGAATGCAGAATTGAAATGGCCCATTTGAAGCTAAAGTACTTGAAGGAGACTAGACTGGCGTCATCTTTAGAGAGGAGGGGGTATCAAGGGTGGGATTTAGGGGGAGGGATGAAGGGTAATGTGTTCACTCCTCCATCCTTTTGTTCCTGGAGGTTTCACATCAAGTCTGAGAGGAGTCGTCTCTGAGCAACTACTGCACATTTACATTTCTAAATGTCTGCTTTCTGCTTTCCTAGTACATGTTGGGTTTGAGAAGAGAGACCCTTTATTTAAACTCTGATATAATCTGATTTCTCTCATGTTCATCATTTGACTTCATTGTGACAGCCGTTTCTTTTCTGTGTTCACAGTCAATTTCTTTTGAAAAAATATATATATATTTGAGAATTCATGTTTTGTGTTAAAGTACAATATTTCTCTGGATACCTAAAGTCCCTGAAGGCAACATGACTACAGAACTATTTGTAAAGTTTGATCCGAGTATCGAAATAATCTGATTGAAGTTAGGCACAAAATGGCGTCCGTCTGTTATAAAAACGATCTCAAATTACAGCTAAATAGTGCACTAAAATACATTTCTACAAACTTTTGAGGGCAGAAATACACATAACAGTAACAGAATCTTGATTAATGTTTGATCAGTATTGCTTATTTTTACAGTTTGACATCATCCTATTCACACGGGAGAGAAACCATACTGGTGTGGGGCTTTAAGGGAACTACAAAGAGACATTTGTTTCCCACATGTTTCTCAACAGTATGGTTTAACTCCAGTGTGATTGGCTGGTGGATTTTAAGGTGACTTCCCTCCTTCTCAGACAGATCAACAGCTACAAGCCCCTCATTGGGTTTTTTTGGCAGGTTTTTCTATAAATTAAATAATTTTTGATCATAAATATCTTGGTTTCTTCTTTTCTAAGTTCACATTGTTCTGTTGTCTTACATACAACCCAATTTTAAAGTAACTCTCCCAACCAGAGTCTTGGATCAGGCTCAGTTAGCAGAGGTGTTGTGGCTGAGGAGGGGGGGGGGGGGGGGGGTCGTCTCAGGAGAAGGACAGGACATCAGAGGTCGGATTAAAGGTTGGGTTCACACCTTCCTCCTGTTGTCTGGGAAGGTTTCAAGTCAAATCCAAGAGGAGTGGTCACTGAACAATTGCTGCAAATTTAAATTTGGGGGAGGAGGGTCTGCAGGAAGTGGGGAGAGGTGTGAAAGTGGGTTATATTTAGGGTTAGTGCAAGTTAGAGTTTACTTCAGAGAAACATCCGGAGAAGAAGCATGGAGAGAAACGCAGCAGCAGGATTGTCCTCTCATGTCGGTTTGCAGCACTTTTACTCATTTAAATACATGTGTTTCATTTATATTCAATTTAATTACAGTAATACATGAAACTAGCAGACACAAAGGCTTACAGTCAACAGTTTCTTTGCCTCATCAACTTCTGCAATCATAACATGTATAACATTTTGTACATTTTTTGTTGTGATTTTTTAAGTTAAAAGTAACATTTGTGAAAAATGTATCATTTGACACTTTTCCCTACTGGTAGTTATGTGTATATTACTCTAGATGTAGTCAGAATGAAAGAAAACATTGATTACCATTGGTTGAATATTATGTGTAATGAATACAAATGGATTAGTTTGTTTGTGTATATCGACCTGAATTCCTTTGTCTTTTTCCTGTCTGGTTTCCCCGCTCGTGTCCTCTGTTCTGTTCTTGATTGTTTGTTCTTTGTCTTCGTTGTTTGTCTTTCCTTGGTCTGGTATCAGCTTTATATAACTCTCTAAAACTTGCTTTTCTGTTTCCACTTGCCTCCTCTTCATTCTGTCCTGATTCTCTCACTCTGTGACAATTATGTATTTTTTTGTTGAAAAATGCCAGACTTTTCAGAAATAACAAAGCTTACCTGTCCCTATACCTGCAGATAACTCACCTGCAGAATATGTGTGAGAGGACGTTATTCTGCCTGGTGGAAAATCTGAGGGGCAAGGAGGTGAAGACGGAGGAACAGTGGAGGGAGGAAGAGGCGAGGAATGAGGAAGAGGCGAGGAAGGAGGAAGAGGCGAGGAATGAGGAAGAGGCGAGGAGTGAGGAAGAGGCGATGAATGAGGAAGAGGCGAGGAAGGAGGATGCAAGCAACCCAAAAAAACCGGTGTCCAATCTCAAGAAGAAGCCAAGGGTAACTGCAGTTAAAGGAATTCAAACAAAAATAAAAAATGTGTGCACCACAGTAACTTGAAAAAGTACATTTTGTCCCAGAAAATAGTAAAAAAAAACTCAAAAATAAAGATTTAGTTTTCTATAATATCAAGAAAAACAGCATTAAAAAATAATGAAGCTCTTAAAATTATTCAAGGTTTTCAAGAAATGTCTTATTTTTGTCTGATCAACTTTCTGTTTGTCTTGAATAGAAACCGAGGAGAAAATGCGGACCCAAAAACCACAGCTGTCAGCACTGTGACAAATCCTTCACAACGGTTTTGTATTTAAATGTGCACCAGAGGATTCACACCGGAAAACGTCTTCACCACTGTGACCAATGCGGGGCGACTTTCCACTACCTGAATCGGCTAAAACTCCACCAACGTGTTCACACTGGAGAAAAACCCTACGGCTGTGACCAATGTGGGAAAAGGTTCTCTTATCCAGGAGCCATGGTGGTCCACAAGCGGCTTCATACAGGAGAGAAACCGCAAATCTGCGACATATGTGACAAAGCCTTCCGCACTCACAGTGAGCTTTCAAGCCATAAAGTAATTCACCAAGAAGAGAGACCGCACATCTGCAACGAGTGTGGGAAAACTTTTAAAAGTACAAATTACCTAAGAGTTCATCGGGTTATTCACACTAAAGAGAAAGTATTCTGGTGTGACCAATGTGGGAAAACTTTCAATCAGAGTTCTCAGCTCAAAATGCATCAGCGAGTTCACACTGGAGAGAAACCGTACAGCTGTGAGGAATGTGGAAGAGTCTTTGCACTGAGCTCCGGCTTGAGAAGTCACGAGAGCATTCACACTGGAAAGAAACCATACAGCTGTGACCAGTGCAGCTCCACATTTAGATCTAGGGTTGAGTTAAAAACACACCAGCGTACCCACACCGGAGAGAAACCATACAGCTGTGACCACTGTGAGAAAAAGTTTTCCCGGCAGGATCACCATGCCGTCCACCTACTGGTTCACACGGGACTGAAACCACACAGCTGTGAACATTGTGGGAAAAACTTTTCTCGGCGTAGTAATCTCAAAGTCCACCAACGCACACACGCTGCACTTCGTTAACCTTTCCTCAGAGCATAGCTTACTCTCTGATGGTGATGGAAAAATATTGATTGCTTTAATGCTTCTCAGGTATTTTTGTTTTGTGAGCATATCTGTATATATGCTACACGTTAATTCTGTGAATAATACTCACATTTGCAGAAGTGCGCACCAGAAAATGTCCAAACACGTCCTGTCGAGGTGCATTTCCTCTTGTAGTGTGATGTCTGTACTTCCCTATAATCACTGTGAGGTAGACTCAAACGTCATCGCTCACTGACTGTATTTTTTACAGAATAATCTTCATTTCCGATTGATAGAGCCTGTTTTTATTTTTATTTTACTGAATATGTTTCATCTACTGTTTTCATTCGTTCATAGTTAAAGGTGGGGTAGGTAAGTTTGAGAAACCGGCTCGAGATACACTTTTTGTTATATTCCATGGAATGCTCTAAACATCCCGATAGCAATGAATATCTGAAGTGCTTTGACAAAAAATCCATTAAAAAATATCATCTGTGGAAGCAGTAATACTGTAAAAAGCACGACCAATCATCTGAGCCGGTCCGGCTAAAATAACTGGATGGCCTACCTGCCTGTCAGCCTTCCATCGGGGCACAAACTTATCTCGTGCCCTCATTGGTCATGTGCGCGTTCGTGTGTGTTGGAGGAGGGGCTCTGTAAGGAAGTGGCAGATTTTCTCCGGTTGTGTATTTTCAAATTCTAGCGATCTCGAGCCGGTTTCTCAAACTTACTAACCCCACCTTTAAAGCACAGTGATTATAACTTGGTAATTAGGCTAAAATGTGATGCCTGTTTTTTTCTCTATTTTGTCAGTAAATCTGATCGAAAACTTGTTTTCTATTTTCTCAATAAATGTTTCGACACAAAGAGACTCTTTTACTCATCATTACAATACTGTTTGATACCTTATCATTACTTCCAATCACTTTGCATTATATTTTTAAGCTTGGCCTTGATTTACTAAGAACAAATAATAGAACGAGAATTAAAAATAAAGAGTATCATTCTGATTATTATTATTATTTATTTAATTAATTTAGTATATGTACTTTTAATGGCATTAATCTTTAAAAAACATGGGAAACATGTTTTAACCGTGAATATTTTAAAGTGTTTTATCATGTGACTAGTTTATTTATTGTATTCTCTGTGTGAGTAAAGAAGGCTGTGAGATTTGAAAAACTCCAAAAAGAGAGTAAGTGAGTCTCAAGTTCAGAAATAGTTATTACAAATATATCCGCATTATATTTTCCTACTGTGTGAACATTGTGGGGTTTATTTTACAGACTCTTATTTTTAGATATATCTGCATCACCGCCTCTCACTGACTCTTTATCTGTCTGTCTTCTTTAGAAACAGAGAAGAAGAAAGGAACCCAAACTTTTCAGCGGTGACCAATGTGGGAAAGATTTCACTAAATCAAGAAGAGTTCAGAGCCATTATCGCATTCACACGAGAGAGAAACTACACAGCTGTAAAGAGTGTGGGGAAACCTTTTCTAGTGATCTTAAAGTCCACCAGCGCACTCACTCTGCCTCCATCTGATCCTTTTCTGAGTCAAGCTAGCATTCCTCCTGCTTTTGTCCAAATCTAAAGCTGACCAACAGTGACTTTACTTCTTAACCCATTATCCGTTATGTGTGCAGTTGCAATTTTAGTGAGCATCGAGTTCAGAAAGGTTCTTGCTATGTTTAGTTGCCCAGCATTCACTGAATATTTGTATTTCACATTTATGTTCAATTGAAATGTTTGAGTTTTTGCCCTTTTTGAAGTGATCTTTAAAACACTAAGACACGTTGGGTATGAGAAGAGAGACACTAGAGATACTTGTAATGTGAGACTCAGTCGCAGTTATCCAGGTTAGAACTCAAACTCACTGAGAGTCACTATTTCTGGAGAAAGGTGTTAAATGTTTGAAATATGAAAGTCCATCATCTTCCGTTGAATTGCGGTGAAGGAGGGTCGTTAAATAAATATTTACATCTTGTGCTGCATCGCTACTTTTATTCTTGAATAATCTCCTTTCTGAATGCAGAATTGAAATGGCCCATTTGAAGCTAAAGTACTTGAAGGAGACTAGACTGGGGTCATCTTTAGAGAGGAGGGGGTATCAAGGGTGGGACTTAGGGGGAGGGATGAAGGGTAATGTGTTCACTCCTCCATCCTTTTGTTCCTGGAGGTTTCACATCAAGTCTGAGAGGAGTCGTCTCTGAGCAACTACTGCACATTTACATTTCTAAATGTTTGCTTTCTGCTTTCCTAGTACATGTTGGGTTTGAGAAGAGAGACCCTTTATTTAAACTCTGGTATAATCTGATTTCTCTCATGTTCATCATTTGACTTCATTGTGACAGCCGTTTCTTTTCTGTGTTCACAGTCAATTTCTTTTGAAAAAATAAATATATATTTGAGAATTCAAGTTTTGTGTTAAAGTACAATATTTCTCTGGATACCTAAAGTATTGAAGTATAATTGAAATGTTTGAGTTGCCTTTTTGGTACTTTTTTATTGTATTTACTTCAAGTGATATTCAAATCACTAAGACACTTTAGGTATGAAAAGTGCTAAAATACATTTGTGACGTTCATGTTTTGTTTGAACAAACATTGTTCAAGTGAAAGTCTGATATAATATTATCTCATGTTCATTATTTGACTTCATTGTGACGGCCGTTAGTTCTCTGTGTTCTCAGTAAATGTGATTCTTGCTGCTGTAATAATCTGAGCTGTAAACTTAACACTTGTTTTCTAGTTTCTCATTAAAGTTGTCGACACAAAGGGACTCTTTGACTCATCATTAGAAACTGTTTCATGTTTTAATCATAATTGTACTTTTTTTTCTGCGTTTTCAGTTTGATTCTGTTTGTTTATATTATCGGACTGTACTAAAGGAAAGAAGGCCTTAAAAACAGACTCACATTCCTGCATATTGGTTATGTTTTACAAGCAGATCACAAACATGTGATTTCCTTCTCTCTGAGTACTTATACTTATACTCAAGTACCAGATCTGAGTACTTATAATCAAGTACAAGACCTGAGTACTTAGATCTGGTACTTGAGTATAAGTATAAGTATTCCACCTAAAATGATCACAAGACATTCAGCTATTAAACTTGTATTCAGATTTCTGATATCTTTTACAGTGTGTGACTCATCACAGTTGAAGTTGTGGTACATGTTCAGGCTGTTAGATGTTATAATGGGTGTCTATGGGAGGGGCTCTTCAGAGCTAGAGTGTCATCATCACTCAGAGTGTAGAGGGTCTTTAAAATCTTCTAAAAAAACATTTTAAAACTGCTCTCAATCCCAAAATATATACTCTATTCAAATCATTTCAGAAGATTTGAGGAGCATAATTAGTCTGCTCAGAAGAGCTTTATTGAACAGCTGGTACTATGTCTGTGACCCCTCCTGTGCTTCATTGATAAGCCTTGAATTTGCACTTGTCATGGTTCAGAGGCACATATGGCAGCAGCCATCCATCATTTCAATCAGGAGAGTCTTCATTTGTTTAAAGAACATTTATTGACACATGCCATATGATAAATGTTAAGTCTTTGGCGATTAGCCCCCGATCCTGATCCCCTTTAGACCGTATATATCTAAAGGGGGAAGTTGCTCTTATTTAGTCTTTAGTTTGTTTTGTAAATTGGTGAGTGAACCCTCTTTGTTTTGAGTCTTAAAGCAATATGTTTTCATCTTGAAAATCAGTTTCTTCTTTGTTTTTTCTCCCGGTTATTTTAAATGTTACTTCCCTTTAACCCCTAGATTATTAGGGAACCTAACGGCTTAATACAAACTTTGGGACATGAAACCACAGTAATACTATTCTTCCACGTTAGCAACATGAGTTATCCTTCACCGAACGCCATGATGTTACCAGTACTTCCTCCACTACTACACCCCAAAATACCCCCACCACCTCCACCATGATGCATGAGAGGAAGCCCAGTTTCCCATTGACAGAATAATTAGATCTCATGGCTCAGATAGGTTCAAAAGAAGCTTCTGAGTCATTATTGACGTCTTCATTTGGTTTCTATTTGTTAAGAAATGTATGATTTGACACCAAGATCATTCACACAGGAAGCGAAAGAGATTTTATGGCATTGTTATTTATTTCCAAGCCAAATATTACAGTGAAATATAAAACAAATGTTATCTCATGTTCACTTTTTGACTTCATTGTGACAGCCATTTATTTTCTGTGTTCACAGTAAATTTCTTTTGAAAAAATAAAATATATTTGAAAATTCAAGTTTTGATGGGAGTTTTGTGTAAAAAAAGTACAATATTTATCTGGATACCTAAAGTCCCTGAAGGCAACATGACTACAGAAGGCCTGTCACTCATGTGAAGCCCCTCTCAGCTAAGCCCCGCCTCCCCAAGCAACTTTAGGGCCAAATGTCTGAAACCAAAGAAATAACATTATATAAAAGTTTGTTATATGAAAGTGATAACTGCAGATTTAAGAAGGGCAGGAACTGGATATGAGATGTTTAGGGAACATCTGTGGATTGTAAAGTTTGCATGTCATATAAATATATAGTATATTGTAGTGCCGAGAGATAGGAGTCGGAGGCGGTGCATCGAAGGTGCAAATGGGAACTTTAATGAGCAGCAGAAAACCACATGTTGTCGGGTCGCAGCCCAGGAAGAGAAGAGAAAGAAGCCAGGAGGGCACACAATAAATACTGTCAGCAACACATATGTCCGTGCGGAAACAATACCCCCAACCTGTAGTTCCATGCGTGAATTATGTCAATCAGTGATCACTACAATATGTACTTTTAATGCCATTAATGTTTAAAAATAATGGGAAACAAATGTTTTACATGTTTTAACCGAGGACTATTTTAAAGTAATTTATCATGTAACCAGGTTATTTATTGTATTCTCTGTGTGAGTAAAGAAGGCTGTGAGATTTGAAGAACTCCAAAAAGAGAGTAAGTGAGTCTCAAGTTCAGAAATAGTTATTACAAATATATCGTTCATT